CTCGCTCACGCCCACCACCGCCCGACGCCCGGACGCCCCTCGCACATCCTCTAAATAGGAGTATAAGAGAAAGAAAGAGAGAGAGAGAGAGAGAGAGAGAGAGAGAGAGAGAGAGAGAGAGAGAGAGAAGAGAGAGAGAGAGAGAGAGAGAGAGAGAGAGAGAGAGAGAGAGAGAGAGGAGAGAGGGAGAGAGAGAGGAGAGAGGAGAGAGAGAGAGAGAGAGAGAGAGAGAGAGAGAGAGAGAGAGAGAGAGAGAGAGAGAGAGAGAGAGAGAGAGAGAGAGAGAGAGAGAGAGAGAGGAGAGAGAGAGAGAGGGGAGGGAGAGGGAGAGAGGGAGGGAGAGAGAGAGAGAGGGAGGGAGAGAGAGAGAGAGAGAGAGAGAGAGAGAGAGAGAGAGAGAGAGAGAGAGAGAGAGAGAGAGAGAGAGAGAGAGAGAGAGAGAGAGAGAGAGAGAGAGAGAGAGAGAGAGAGAGAGAGAGAGAGAGAGAGAGAGAGAGAGAGAGAGAGAGAGAGAGAGAGAGAGAGAGAGAGAGAGAGAGAGAGAGGAAGAGAGGAGAGAGAGAGGAGGAGGGAGGGAGGGAGGGAGGAAGAGAAAACGAGAAAGAGAAAAAAGAGAAAGAAATAGAGAGAGAGGATATGAATGCACAGTAACAATTGTTGGAAAGTACGAACAAGCTCATTAAATATCTCGGGAAAGGAAGATGTGCTGTTTTACTTGAATTTACTGACGATGATGACATCCTGATATGAACCAGTTATCTTGTGAAATGATCCTCATCTCAAATGTACCAAATCCAAATATTTGAATGAAAGTACGAGTGACTGAACGGCTTCTCGAGATGTCTCCTAATTGTAATTGTGATGAGGATGAGAATATCAAAACGTTGATCAGAAATCTTTAGTTGAAAAATGTTTATTTCATTCATAACTTTTACAACACCTGAATAATCTGACGATAATCACAAACTGAGGACAAATATATTGTTAACAACATATAGCTGACAACAGAACCATCGTCGCTGACAGAAATATATAATTGACAGCAAAAGCACAGGCGATGACAGAGCCAACGCGAAGCCGCACAGGAGGAGAACCCGCCTGGATCATCGCCGTCGCCGCCCTTACCTTGCACGTCACACGGGTCTCCGGGCGGCAGGACAAGCGTCGGGGAGCGGGACATCGAAGGAGCTGGACAGGGCTGCCTTCGGGCGAGTCTGACGCTGTAGGACTTCGTCTGAGACAGATGGAGGTGCACGACGTCTCCTCTGGTCGTCACGCCCACGATGGTTTCTCCGTCCGGCCTGGAAGGGAAGAAATGGTGTGAAATTAGGGAGAATAATGAGCCTTGTTATTTCTGAACCGACTGATTTACAAATACCTAGTTATACGGGAAAAAACAAAAAGCAAAAATGGTGGTGAAGACATGGTAATAGCACCTAGATTAGAAAAACAAAAACAAAAACGAACCACGAATACGTAATGAAACAAAAAAGGTACTACAGAACATATAGACAATACCTATAACATTTCTGGAGCTCCATATTTAGACAGGGAATTTACAAGAGACAAAGAGATGATCATATAGGAATCGCAATAATACACAAAGGACACTATACACACTCACTTCAGAATCACAAGCCAAAGAAAGGCGCAAGAGGAAATAATCAAAAGACAATAACAACAGCGTAAAAAAATAATCTTTAAGACGAGACCAAACACATATAAAATACTCTTAAAGTCGGCAAATGTGAAACCTACACCCTCATCTACACTCATAAAGCACGGTTGAAGTGATAATGACAGTAATAACAAAACAATAAAAACAAAGAAGAGCAAGAAAATAATGATAATAGTGACAATACTGGAAATCATATTTATGATGATGATGATATTCTAAAAGTTATAAAGAAAATTCCAAAAATAAAGTAACAATACGCAGGCGGGATGCAAAATCACTTACAAACCACGAACCTCTATAATAGGACTTCGAAACGCGTACACATAAGGATCCAAGGAACCAGGCAATGAATAAAGAGGAAAAAAAGGAGAAAAAAAGGTTAACGACACTGATTCACGAACCACGAACCTCCGAACCGAAACACCGAATCCCGCGAACCCGAAGAGCAACCCAAACCTTCGCCACTCACGTCGGCACAGCGAGCACCACAGCGTCAGGAGCGCAGTAGGACTCCGTCACCTCCTCCAGCAGTTGCCTCTTAACGGCGGTGTCCCGTCTGCCAACCTCTCGGGGGGCTCGAGTGATGGTGAAGACGCCAGGACTCGGGCGAAGGGCGCGAGGTCGAGGTCAGGTCAGCGGTCACCTCGAACACAACGCCTGTGCTCGTTTCTACGTGAATCACGTCCTGGGTGGAAGTAGAGGGTAATGAGCGTAATGATTTTTCTAATAGAGGCAATTGATACTGAGAATGCAAATGGCGAGGAAAGGATGCTAGTAATTGCTATAATGACGATGAAGACGATGTTGAATAGAATCACAACAACGGTTGAAATGATAATAATAGTAATAACAAAACAATAAAAACAAACAAGAGCAAGAAAATAATGATAATAGTGAAATAGTGGAAATTATATTTATAATGATGATGATATTAATGTTATAAAGAAAATTCCAAAAATGGGTAAATATATCATACTTATGATTAGAAAAATATCAATAATGATACAAATAAGTAGGGACGTTCATAGTAA